GGTAAGCCTCGTAATAATCCATCGCTCGAATGTAGGTCGCAGGGTTCGATCTGCGGCCCACGTTCAGCCAAAACGACGTCCCACCGTGTTCTGGACGCCAAACCAAACACTTGCGATTCGCGGCTGCTCCCCGCGCCGCGCGAAAACCGCCTCCCCAAACGGACTCTAAGTGCCAGCCCGACCTTTGAGCCCGACCTGTGAGAGTGGCGGGCAAAATTTGACAAAGAAGCTCATCATGTGTATGAGGGTTAGAGTGGCGGGCAAAATTTGACAAAGAAGCTCATCAGAAGCACATTGGATGTGTATGAGGGTCTGATAATGGTCAACATATTCATAAAGGTCAGTTATCCCTTCATTGAAGTCAATATTTGGGAGCTTGAAGCTTGCTGGGATGAGGTGTTGGAGGACCGCCTTAAACAAGAATGAAGATTCTTGGAAATTATGACGAGCGGGGAAACGATCCCTATCCCCCAGAGGGAACTCTTTTCAAACCATAAGTTGTAGCTTGTCGTAGATTACACTATCAGGAATGAAAGTAAGCTGCTGGGCCAATTTTATTGCCAGTGTTAGAGGGTTATCGATTTGTTTAGTTGTAGAGATGGATGAGTGAGACTCGCAGTATCAAGGAGGTCGGCGTCTGGTCTGGCGGAGGAAGAGTCCCATTGCGATTATGTTCAAGTGGGGCATTTCTTGTTGGCTATTGACCTTGTGATAAATATGCTCCATCTGGTTGTACGGGTTTCAACTGTCGAGCCTCACGTAAGTGATGGAGAATCTCACTTTGAGTCTCTTCCATTGTGCGCACTCGATTTCCAAAGAGGAGCCTGAGGCATCTTTGCCAGTAGGATAACATCTTCTAGGGCGAGAAGAGATAAAGGCTTGATGTCTCTGACTCCTCATTTCTCCCTAAAATGGTGGTTGTTAGAACGGGATGCTTCCTTGTTACGAGTATTGCGTTTGGTGGCCATTTAACAAGCTTTGCAATTACTTCGATGGTGAGATTGCTTTTTCCACAAACGACGCCAAACTATTGCGTGCGAGAAGATTTATGGCAGCGGATTGATTATTTAGCTTCTTAGCATTGTATAAAAATACAACATACACGCAAATAATAGAAATAAAAAGTACAACAACAACAATAACAAAACTTTATCCTACTAAGTGGGGTCGACTACATTAATCTTTTTTCTTGTGTCTTATTTAATGTCATATTTTCATTTAATTCTAATAAATTAAGATCATTTTTATACAACATGCCCAATCTTTTTGGATCTTTCTCTTCCTATCTTAAACATAAGTCGAATCTAAAACATCTACTCTTCTAGCCTGATCATCAAATGGTCAACGTTTAATGTAACCAAACCATCTAAGACGACTGTATCTAAGACAACATGCCCAATCTTTTTAGATCTTTCTCTTCCTATCTTAAACATAAGTCGAATCTAAAACATCTACTCTTTTAGCCGGATCATCAAATGGTCAACGTTTAATGTAGCCAAAGCATCTAAGACGATTGTATCTAATATTGTCTGTCACTGTAGCTACATTAACCCTTTCACTAATACATTAGTTGAGCATTTTGTCTCTTAAGTGTCCAGCCACCCATCCACCTAAGGATTCTCATCTCAGCAACACTTAACTTAATTTTATGCTTCTCTTTTAAAGACCAACATTTAAAGACCAACATTCTGCGACATTCTGCGCCATAAAGCATTGCAGGTTTCACCACCATCATATAAAATATTCCTTTAAGTATAAGCAGTACTTTTCTATCATACAATAGGCCCAATGCATTCCTCCACTTCAACCATCCAACTTGAATTCTACTAATAGCATCCCCATCTATTTCACCATCATAGGTATAGACAAAATTTTTACATGAAAAGTCTTAAAAGGGAAAAAACCATGGGGATTAGTCCAAAGAGTATGATCCATTATAAGTTTGTGAGTATAAGTATAAATTTATTCCACAAAAGGGGCAAAGTCATTCCCGCCACAGTGTCCTTACACAAAAATGTTCATTGTACAATGGTTCGAAGCAGTTTCAACAAGGAGTTATCGCTAGAACTTCGCTGCACAGCCTTCACGGTATATCTTTGCACGGTATTCGAAACATTGTGTTGATGTGTAAGGTATTTCGTTACTCTATGGCATATCTCGTTAATACGCATGGTGCTTCGATACTCCACAACAACATTGAAACTCTGCACGGGACTTCATTGCAAAGTATTTTATTGCTTCGCAAGGTCCACCAATTGCGACGAGCAGGGGGTGGTCGATGATGGTTGACGGTAGCCGGTAAGCAGTTGTCGATAGTGGTTGACAACCACTAGAGTGATCTTTGGGTCATCAGTCTAGAACAAATCTGGAAATCGGCTCCTCTTGATTCAACTCCAGATTTTGCTCTTCTCCCCCTTCATGAAGGGGCAAGGTTCTATTTATAATGTTTGGGAGTGACGTGCCCTGCAAATAATATATGAATTTGAATCACTCCATCGAACAATCCAAAACTATTTCGTTGATCAAATAGCATTTTAGGGACATTTAAGTGCTTGTAGAAATTGAGTGATCTTGGAACTGTTCTATTCGTCTCATTGAGATGCTCGATTTGATTTTAAACTTGTCATATTTGAGATCCCTTTGATCCTTCAACTGACCACCAAATTTTTCGAAAGTAGTTTAATGCTTTGATCCAGACTTGATTTGACTTGGATTTGGTCAATTTTGTTGTTATTGGGTCAATCTCATCGAGCCAGTCAGTTTGGCTGGCTACAAATTTGCTGAAATTGGAATTTTGGATGATTTTTAATTTGAGTTTGAATATTTTTTGCCCAAAAAATGCCACGAGATTTGTGCCAAAATGCATCTAGATTCATGTTCAATGACAAAATTTTTTGACGACGAATCATTTCTTAAAATAAATGTAGAACAATATCTACCAACCTTAAAGAAAATTTTCTCTAATGCTCTCATCATGATATTTGCAAAGAAAGGGTGCTTCATGTTTTTGTCCAAATTTACTGTAATATGTGAAGTTACCCTGCCTGAGAGATTTGTACAGAAAAACAACACTTGTGATTGAGTGAGCACTAAGTAATGTTGTAGCTTGGCGAACGACCATTTTGATGGGCTTAATTATTTAGAGAATTGGCAACAATGGTCAGACTGATGAGAAGCCTTTCAGTTATGGAAATAAAGGTTAAGCTATATATTATATAGGTTTGTTTGTATCTAATCATGTAGCGGTATAAACTTTCTGATGATAGATGCACTTATAGAAATTTAGTATTGTTTGGACTCTCTAGTTGCTTAGAAATAAATATGAGCATATATAAATTAAGTGAAGATGAGTGGGTTGTAGTGAGTGTTTCAAAAACCTAGAAAGGTCTAGTAATCTCATTTCTTGTACTCTGTATTCAAAATCTTCAATCCCTATTTATAGAATCTAAAGAGGATTGTCTAAAGCTTTACATCATGCTGCATTGAATGACTAAATTACTTAAATACTTGGTGAATTAAAAAAGGTTTGCGTTTGTGAAATAACACAAGATTTTCTTTGTTTTCATGAATTTTCCAACTAAAATTGTGTTATGCACAACATTTAAAATTGCACAATTAGGTATTGAAGTGGTTTTTGCCCATGTGGTGAGACATAAGCCTCAGCATCAAAAAATTGCTCAAAGGAAAGAGTAATATAGATTGTAGTAAGAAGTAACATATGAACTTACAAACATATTAATAGACTAAAATGTATTATATTAGAATTTTAATATAGTAAAAGTAGTAACATATTAGCATTCAAACATTATATCATAAAATAATAAGAGTTATACCATCATCAAAATAAGCTATAATAATATGATAATTCAAAATAAGTTAGATACGATTAATTTTTGACATGGGGGTTGAACCGTGCGGCTCAGCCCTAGAGGAAGGCAGTCCAGCAAGGAGGTTGGACCGGTCAGTCAACCTTTGGCGGAGCATATGAACTTACAAACATATTAATAGACTAAAATGTATTATATTAGAATTTTAATATAGCAAAAGTAGTAACATATTAGCATTCAAATATTATATCATAAAATAATAAGAGTTATACCAACAACAAAATAAGCTATAATAATATGATAATTCAAAATAAGTTAGATATGATTAATTTTTGACATGGGGGTTGAACCGTGCGGCTCAGCCCTAGAGGAAGGCAGTCCAGCAAGGAGGTTGGACCGGTCAGTCAACCTTTGGCGGAGCATATGAACTTACAAACATATTAATAGACTAAAATGTATTATATTAAAATTTTAATATAGCAAAAGTAGTAACATAT